CGTGTACACGCACATCTACACGCACATCTACACGCACATCTACACGCACGTGTACACGCACATCTACACGCACATCTACACGCACGTGTACACACACTCTAAACTCTGTAGCAATAAGACAGACATCACTTCCTATGCAAGAAATACACACCTTACAAATTCCAAGCTTTATCTTGTTCTTGTTGATATCCATCTCTTCCCAGACGTCCCTTTCCTGAGGGCGAGTGTGCCCCAGAGACCCAGGCAGTTTATCTGGGGACCCAGCAGCAGGGACACCGTTCTCCCCATCACTAAGCTGTTCATCTGGAAACACCTCATCTGTATTTTCTCGGAGCAAGTCTCCGGGGATGGGGGTGGCATTTGCAATTCTGAAATGTGAGGGTGGAAAACACAAAAATTTAAAAGACCAGAATAAAAGTTAATATTAGACAGACTACTCTTCATTTTGTCTCTGGATTTAAGTTTATACACAATTAAGAGGTAAACAAAAGCTAAAACTTTTTTTGTTGTTGTTTTGAGACAGGGTTTCTCTGTAGCTTTGGAGTCAGTCCTGGAACTCACTCTGTAGACCAGGTTGGCCTCGAACTCAGAGTGATCCTCCTGCCTCTGCCTCCCAAGTGCTGAGATTAAAGGCGTGTGCCCCCCACACCTGACAATCACTTTGAAAGTCAGAAACATCTGTTCTACTTTCTACGAAGCCTTCATTAGTAAAATAAAACTATCTATTCTTTAACACTTTTGTAAATAACAAAAACAATTATACATAGTGAAGTACGAAGGGATAAGAGGAAATAAATAGGGTTAGATGATTTTTTAAAATTTTTTTTAAAGATTTATTTATTTATTATGTATACAACATTCTGCCTCCATGTATGCCCACACGCCAGAGGAGGGTGCCAGATCTCATTACAGATGGTTGTGAGCCACCATGTGGTTGCTGGGAATTGAACTCAGGACCTCTGGAAGAGCAGTCAGTGCCCTTAACCACTGAGCCATCTCTCCAGCCCCTAGATGATTTTTTTTAATATGAACTGTGCACTACCGTTTCTTTAACTTTTAATTTTTATTAAAATAAGCCTTTTTTCATTCAATATATTTTGATCATGTTTTTCACTTCCTGGAATTCCTTCCTACCCACCCAATCGTGTGTTCTTTCACTCTTTATTTTTTTATTTTTTATTTTTTTTTTTTTGGTTTTTCGAGACAGGGTTTCTCTGTGGCTTTGGAGCCTTTCCTGGAACTCGCTCTTGTAGACCAGGCTGGTCTCGAACTCACAGAGATCTGCCTGCCTCTGCCTCCCGAGTGCTGGGATTAAAGGCTTACGCCAGCACTGCCCAGCTCTTTCACTCTTTAAAACAAATGAACAAACAAAAAGAAAACCCAAAACCAAACCAAACCAAAAAAAACCCACGGAAACAAAAATCAAAACCAACTAGCAAAGGAGCGGTAAGACTGAAAAAGAAAGAAAAACAAAGTGAGACAAATACTGCACACTGTGTTCCCATCACAAAGCTCACTAATAGATCTACATGAGAAGAATAGAAAACATTTGTAAGTATTTGTCTATACATTTCTTTCTTACTTTTATCCTATACTGGCATTGAGTACGATCTTGACAGGAGTACATCATCAAGCTGGGCTATACAGATTTCTTGTGAATGAATTCCAGGCCCTATTTTACATAGTTGTCATCACTCAGTCTACTGGTCCATGCTAGGCTTTTAGTTTTTATCCATCACTAACTCAAAAGGCCTCTATGTCGCTGGGTGGTAGTGGAGCACTCCTTTTAATCCCAGCACTTGGGAGGCAGACACAGGGAAATCTGTGAATTTGAGGCCAGTATGGTTTACAAAGGAGTTCCAGGACAGCCAGAGCTAAACAGTGAAACCCAGTGAAACTCTGTCTCAAAGAACAAACAAACAAATAAAATAAAAATTTTTTAAAAGTCATCTGTGCTCCATAAATACTGGTGTTGTTTTTTTAAATTTATTTTTATTTTCTCTGGATTTAATTTCTTTTCTTTTCTTTCTTTGTTTTTCTTTTCTTTTCTCTTTTTTGCCTGTATAATATATATCTATGTGAGGTTGTCAGATCCCCTGGAACTGAAGTTATAGACAGTTGTGGGCTGCCATGTGGGTGCTAAGGATTGAATCTGGGTCCTCTGGAACAACCAGTGCTCTTAACTTCTGAGCTATCTCTCCAGCCACAATACTAAGGTTTTAAAAAAATATTTCTGATTGAGCACAATATACAAAGAGATTTCTAACAAGTAACAATATCTAAACATAGGAAAATAAAACCCTTAATGGACTGTGTTGACATACATCATTACTGTGAGCAGCAAAATACCCTTCCCAGGCATGGTGGCTCATACCTTTAGACCCTGCACTTGGAAGGCAGAGGCAGGTAGAACTCTGGGAGTTCAAGGACAGCCTGGTCTATAGAGCAAGCTCCCGGACAGCCAGACCTACAGAAAGGGACCCTGTCCCGAAAAACAAACAAAAAACTAAAGGTCACACATGTACCCTGGCACTTCATTTCCTTCTGAGACCAACAATGGTTTCCTAAGGGCAGGGTCTGATTCTTTGCCCTTCGCTACTACCTCTGCCTAAGTTGGTCAATTTTAAGTGATCTCTATATCAGTCTTGTAGGTAAACAACCTAGAAAATTGATTCCTTCTCCTAAACTCTCCTAATCAAGAGTTTGACAAAAGGAGAGAAAATTCCTCACCTAAAGAATTATGGCTCAGGGATATGAAGATGAAAGGGGAGGTAGGGATGAGCTCAGTGGTACAGCACTTGGCCGGCATACACCAAGGCCCTGGGCTCACCCCTAACACCTGTGCAAAGAAAAAGGGAAGGGAAGGAGGGAGGGAAGGATGAAAAGAAAAAAGAAAGAAAAGAGAGAAAGTAGGGTCTGGAGAGATGGCTCAAAGGTTAAGAGTACTGGCTGATCTTGCTGAAGACCCAGGTTTGGTTCCCAGCACCTGCATGTTGGCTTGAATCCATCTGTAACTCCAGTTCCAGGGGAAGAAGGAAGGTGGTGACGAGGGTAAACTGACCAGTCAGTATGAGGTTAGCACTAGCACACGCTGTGTCCAAAAGTAAAAAAAAAAAAAAAAAAAAAAAGGAGCAAGGAGGCAAACACTTAGAATCCCAGGCTCAAAAGGCAAAGGATCCATAAGTTCAAGGTCAGTCTAGGCTACACAGTGAACTGAAAGCCAGAGAGAATATACAGTGAAACCCGGCCTTAAAAAATAAACAACTCAGCAGGTGGTGGTGGTGCATGCTTTTAATCCCAAAGACAGGTGTTTCTCTGAAGTTGAGGCTAGTGAGTTTCAGGACAGCTAGGGCTACACAGAGAAACCCTGTCTAGAAAATAAATAAATTAATAAAAAAATAATTATGACTCATTCTTTCAGGTTCCCATCCGCATTGTTGAGAAATACCAATAATGCTTCCTCTACTCTGAGAAAACCCATGGTACCTGCAACATCAACAAGTCACATTAGCTCTACGTGCCCATTCAACAGAATGAACCATTAGTATTTTCTAAATTAATCAATTCCAGAAACCTAAATACGAAAAAGATAACTCAAAGAAATGCTCAAGGCTTTCCCACATGTCTGAGCACTTCACAATGTGAGGGGTTCAGTATGGACTAACGGGAACACCTGCATTCAGAAATGGCGCCACACACTGAACTGTGTAGGACATACCCAATTGCAGCAGGGGTCAAGCGGGTGTGCAACTGAGGGGTGGCAGAGGTGGTGGTGGTAGTTAGGGAGCCATCAGTTCCACTCTTCTCCCAGTCAAAAGGGTCACTCTCAATTACTCCAAAGGTCTTGATGCTAGTGTCAAACACGGAAGTAAGAAGCTAAACCACAAAGAAAAAAACTACAGTGAGCCAACAGTAATATACTTAACATTCTTCTATAGCAGAAAGCATACCAGACCCACAAAAAAGATTTATGATATGATTCCTTCAAAATTTATGGTTTAAAGAAGGAAACAAACTGGGACTGTGTGGATGACAATAAGAAATTAATGATCATTAATTAACTAATTTTGATTTTGGTACCAGTATATAGTTGTATGAAACATTTTGTTTATAGAAGACATATAATACAGTCTTTTATTTATAACCTACTCTCAGATAGCCTGGTAAAAGGAAGTATGGAATGTGATTATATATAGCCATATATATATTTAGGTTAATCACTTATTTGGTTATTTATCTATTTGTAAAGAGGACATTTTTCTTTTAATTTTACTAATATTTATTGAGCTCTACATTTTTCTCTGCTCCCTCCCTGCCTCTCCTCCCCCTTCAACCCTCCCCCAAGGTCCCCATGCTCCCAATTTACTCAGGAGATCTTGTCTTTTTCTACTTTCTACTTTCCATGCGATCAGATCTATGTAAGTCTCTCTTAGAGTCTGCATTGTTGTCTAAGTTCTCTGGGATTGTGGTTTGTAGACTGGCTTTCTTTTTTTTATGTTTAAAAACCACCTATGAGTGAGCACATGTGATAACTGTCTTTCTGTGTCTGGGTTACCTCACTCAAAATAATGTTTTCTAGCTCCATCCATTTTCCTGCAAAATTCAAGCTGTCATTATTCTTTTCTGCTGTGTAGTACTTCATTGTGTAAATGTACCACATTTTTCTTATCCATTCTTTGATCGAGGGACATTTAGGTTGTTTCCTAATTTTCTGAGAAATCGCCACACTGACATCCAAAGGGGTTGTACCAGCTTGCATTCCCACCAGCAATGCAGAAGTGTTGCCTTTTCCCCACAACCTCTCCAGCATAAGTTGTCATCAGTGTTTTTGATCTTGGCCATTCTTACAGGTGTAAGATGGAATCTCAGAGTTGTCTTGATTTGCATTTCTCTGATGACTAAGGATGTTGAACATTTCCTTAAGTGTCTTTCAGCCATTTTAGATTCCTCTGTTGAGAGTTCTCTGTTTAGGTCTGTACTCCATTGTTTTTTATTGGATTATGTGATCTTTTGGTATCCAATTTCTTGAGTTCTTTGTCTATTTTGGAGATGAGACCTCTATCTGATGTGGGGTTAGTGAAGATCTTTTCCTATCCTGTAGGCTGTCGTTTTGTCGTGTTGACCGTGTCCTTTGCTTTACAGAAGCTTTTCAGTTTCAGGAGGTCCCATTTATTTATTGTTTCTCCCAGTGTCTATGCTGCTGGGGTTCTATTTAGGAAGTAGTTCCCTGTGCCAATGTGTTCAAGTGTACTTCCCACTTTCTCTTCTGTAAGGTTCAGTGTGGCTGGCTTTATGTTGAGGTCTCTGATCCATTTGGACTTGAGTTTTGTGCATGGTGATAGATATGGGTCTATTTTCATTCTTTTACATGTTGATATCCAGTTATGCCAGCACCACTTGTTAAGTATGCTTTCTTTTTTCCATTTAATTTTTTTTTTTGCTTCTTTATCAAATATCAGGTGTTCGAAGATGTGTGGATTGATATCTGGGTCTTCTATTCGGTTCCACTGGTCCTCCTGTCTGTTCTTATGCCAATATCAGGCTGTTTTCAGTACTGTAGCTCTGTAGTAGAGTTTGAAGTCAGGGATTGTGATGCCATCAGAAGTTCTTCTATTGCCCAGGATTGTTTTGGCTATCCTGGGTTTTTTGCTTTTCCAAATGAACTTGAATACCGTTCTTTCGAGGTCTTTGAAGAATTTTGCTGGATTTTGATGGGCATTGCACTGAATCTGTCTCTGTAACTTCTAAATGTTTATGTATGGTTTTCTTTGTTGTTGTTTTTGACAGGGTTATATTTTTTTGTTGTTGTTGGTGGTGGGTTTTTTTTTTTTGAGACAGGATTCTCTGTAGCTTTGGAGACTGGAACTTGCTCTGTAGCTTAGGCTGGCCTCAAAATCAAAGAGATCTACCTGCCTCTGCCTCCTGAGTGTTGGGACTAAAGGCATGTGCCACCACTGTCCGGCCTAATATTTTTTAATAACAATGACTTTAACTAAAATGTATTTTCTAAAGAATTTGGCTCAACACCTACCCACATATAACCCACAAAGATGTCTGATGCTAGTTTACAGCCACGGCTAGACACAGACTCAGTGTATTAATATTTCCCTTATTTTTAGCACAAATCCAGTCAATAACAGTGCCATTTATCTCCACATGAAAATTTAATTTGCCACTTGAAAGAAAATGAACAGGAATTATTTGTAGTATGATATATTGAACTTCACCTTTACTGAGGTTCTTTTTTTGTTTGTTTGTTTTTGTTTTTGTTTTTCGAGATAAGGTCCCACTGTAGTTTTAGAGCCTAGCCTGGAACTAGCTCTTGTAGACTAGGCTGGCCTCGAACTCACAGAAATCCACCTGCCTCTGCCTCCCAAGTGCTGGGATTAAAGGTATGCGCCAGCACCACTAGGCAATTTCTGAATTCTAACTGAATAAATGCAAACTAGTGACTCAATAAAGCACTTACCCCCAGAGAATACAATAGTGACTTGACTGACTCAAAGATCATTCAAAGCAAAAGGAAGTGCCTCACTTCAGTGACACATAAGTAGGTGAAAGATGTAAAGAAATGCACATAATTTTTCCTTCTTTGATATTTGGGATATTTTGGCTATATGGGAACAAAATCCAAAACTTGTATTACACTCTGTTAAACAGATCCAACAGGACAGAGGAAAGAATTAAAATTAAAAGGATACACAGCATCAGCTGTTTTCAAGGTTTTGTTTTTAATTTTTTAAGTTTTTCTTTATTTTAAATTTTATGTGCATTAGAAATTGCCTGCATTTGTGTATGTATACCATGTGTGCCTGGTATCCAAGGAGACCAGAAGAGAGCATGAGATGTCCTGAAACTGGAGTTACAGATGGATGTACCTCACAAAGGTGTGGAGCACAGAGGGCACAACCTGCAGCTTGGATGTGGCCTTTACCATAGGGCACAGCGCTAGCTTGGATATGGCTCTCTTTTATTAAGTTGGTATTCCACAGCACTAGCCTCTAAGCCAGAGAGCTGGCATCTTAACAACACCAGCAATGTCTGCTTAGAAATGCTCATAGCTGGGCATGTTGACTGTTGAAGATCCTTCACAGAAGAATATCCAATATAATTCTGGACAACATCCCAGAATTACTGTTATGTTGTTGTAACTCCCAGCTAGTTGTATGCAAATCTGTCCTAGCTGAATGAGGTCTTGAGGGGAAGAGATTGGATATATACACTGAGAAAAACTAGGGAGAAGGAGGAGGCATTGTCCATATAGACTGAAGACTTTCTTTCTAGTCTAGCTGCTCTCAGGCCACCCACACTTCTGTGAGTAACTCCTCATTCATGTGCTGTAAGTAAGCCCAACAAAATAAACTCACTGGTCCCTCAGGTTGAACTCTGGTGAAACTGAGTTCTGACTTGTCAATAGCTTGCTTAGTCTTTTCCCATGGAGAAAATTCTCACAACAGATGGGAAATTTGTTAGTTTTTATGATTCATGGTATAAGAAAGAAAGTCAGTAAATAGCAGAAAATGTTAGAAGAATGAAAAAATGGGGCCAGGTGATGGTGGCGCACACCTTTAAATCTACGCACTCGTGAGGCAGAGGCAGGCAAATCTGTGAGTTTGAGGCCAGTCTGGTCTACAGAATGAGTTCCAGGACAGGCACCAAAGTTACAGAGAAACCCTGTCTTAAAAAAATAAACAAACAGGGCTGGAGAGATGGCTCAGAGGTTAAGAGCACTGACTGCTCTTCCAGAGGTCCTGAGTTCAATTCCTAGCAACCACATGGTGGCTCACAACCATCAGTAATGAGAACTGGTGCTCTCTTCTGGCCTGAAGGCATACATGCAGGAAGAACACTGTATACATAATTAATAAATAAGTCTTTGAAAAAGGTATATGCCACCACCACCAGGCAGAGAGCATTTTCTTAATTAGTGATTGACGTGAGACTAAAACAGGATGTGAGACCAAAGCAGGTTAAGGGTTCTGTTTGCAGTTAAGAGTAAATTGCTTTTTGTCCTATGCTAAGTCCTTGTAAGTTAAGGTTTGTATTTGTAATTAAGAACAAGTTCTTGTCTCAAAAAACTAAAAAAAAAAAAATGGACTCATGCCAGGCAGTAGCAGTACATGCCTTTACTTCCAACACTTAGAAGGCAGAGGCAGGTGGATCTCTGTGAGTATGAGAGCAGCCCGGTCTACAGAGTGAGTTCTGGGACATATAGGGCTACACAAAGAGACCCTGTCTCTCAAAAACAAAACAAAAAGAAAGGACTCACACAGAAGCTCAAGAATAATTTGAGCTTAGAAGAAAACACCAGGGATGGGAGGTGGTAGCACATACCGTTAATCCCAGCTCTCAGGAGGCAGAGGCAGGCAGATCTCTGAGTTCGAGGTCAACCTGGTCTACAAGAGCTAGTTCCAGGACAGGCTCCAAAACCCCAGAGAATCCCTGTCTTAGAAGAAGGAGGAGGAGGAAGGAGAAGGAAGAAGAAGGAGAAGTAAGAGGAGGAAAACATGACAAGCGAGCGGCAAACCTCGGCGACTGCCTAGAGGAGGTGGAGGAGAGGGTTGGACACATGCCTGGGAGAGAAGCTTTAGAGGTCCTCAGGAAGCCCAGAGCAACAGGAAAAAGCATAATTAATTAGGCTCTGGATAGTATATGAAAGAAAGACAGAAGAAAAAGAAAAAGCCATGCCTTTAAAAAAATAAAAAAATAAGCAAACAAAAAAAAAAGGAAACTGGCAAATTTTTAGTCTAGCTGGACTTATGCATGAAGATTAAGATGGAAAGAAAGCAGAAAGGAGAAGGCCCCCGCGGGGTCTTCCCAGCCCAGATGACAGTGTGACTGAGGCTAAATGACTGTCGTGTTTCCCCAACAGTCCC